TGTCTACCAGTGCGCTGGTATTGAAATGTACACAATTATTAGTACAGAATATTCTGTAATCCTATTCACAGTATTGCTATTGAATTGAATTGTGAATAATTTATGCGTTATTATGAGTTATAATTACGAAACATGTACTGTTTTATTGCATGGAATATAGTGTCAATCCCTATAGTAATACACATTTTCGTGAATAAAACATTTTTATTTTGTGTTTCACACAAAAATCTTACAAATTCATACGCTTTGAAGCATACCTACCCGTCCGCACAGATTATCATACGCATCATTACTATCACTTTTAATCTCCGCCCACTCCCATGACAAAAGGTCCGGGGTTTCCGTGCTGTCCTCCTTATACCTCATTGGGCACATGTATGTCTGTCCTCCGGGGGAGCATCAGGCACCAAACCTTCATACACGGGAATGCCCAGACTAATTAATACTTGTAAATAGCAATTTATAACTAGGTGAAATATAAAAGGGAAATCTTGTAAATTGTTACAAGCAATTTTAAATTATTAATTTTCATATTAAACATTCAATAATAATTAATTAAATAATTTGTTGTTATATTAATAGACTACCATGAACATGACCTATTTAAAATTCATTCCTTTTATTAAATTCATTGTGTCATAGCATACAAAAAATTTTAAAGATTTTTATTGTACTTAATTTTGTCGCCAACAATAATTTTCTTTCTGTTACCCTTCTCAATAATTATTGGGTTTAAATTAACATTGGCACCATCACCATGGTCAATTCTATTAACAAGTGGCATTTGTGAGTAAGAGCCTCCCGTATGACAGTTTTTAAAATTATCAGGATCATGGATAGCCTTTCCGTCCGAGCATGTTAAATCAGGAATCCGCTTGAACAACGCGCGCTGTTTGAGCCAGTACGATTTACAATCCTGACAATCGAAATTGGTGCTATCAAATGCATCAATCACATTTAACGGATTGGCCGCAAAAAATGGCCAAAACACGTCTTCGGGAAAATAAGTTATTTTTGAAATTGCCTGAGAATTTGACAAATCGATCGTAGTGGGTCGATTGATCCCGATCAATGAATTACGCGCGAAACTTGATGGCGTAAGATTGTGATTGTCGCGAAGTGAAATGTGCAGGGTCGAGTTAGTGAGTTCGTCCATGGCGAACGCATTATCGCCAATATAAGTGAGGTGGTTTCCCCACAAACTCAACTCAGTAAGCGCAGTTAGGTGGCTGAATATATTGCCATTCAATTTTTTTAACCCTTGACCTATCATTAATTTAAGCGATTTTAAATGTTTTTGATGACCCTGGCGAAAAACACCAACATCCAAACCACTATAACTGGCCACTATAACTAGATTGACTATTTCAGCCACTTCAAATCTGTAATTTGATTATAAAAGAATAGTAACAAAATTAATTTTAATTTTCAGAATGTAGAATTTATAAAATAACTTTGCTACCCTACCTCATAACAACATCAAATAAAGCATGCGGAGCTAGTAAATAATCACTCGTAAAAAGAAATGATTTTGTATAATTGTAATTTAGACCGAAAGCATCAGGGTGGATTTCTGTCAATGCTGACCACTG